TTTCTCTACCTACTGAATTTGAGGCAGCAGACAGCTGATTTTGCCAGCAGATGCCAGGGCTGGCTGCCATTTTTTGAAGGCCAAGTGCAGCAGGCTTCCCCCCTCCCCATGCCTTTGACTGGCTGAGGTGCCCTGGCAGTCCCACTTCTCCTAGTGAATTGCCAGATGGACCAAAACCACAGCTTAATTACCCTGATTAAACCCAGAAAAGCCATTAATCCATGCATTAAGTAGATGAGGAGGGTAGATGTTAGGAGGGGGAGGCAGGAACTGCTTGTGCAGCCTCCCCACTGTCCACTCTCCCTGTTCCCCCTCCCCTTCCCCCCACCATCCCCTGCTCAAGACTTCAGGGCTTCCCACCTTTTTCTCTGCTTGCAGTTATGGTTTGATTTGGTTTTTTGCAGCGAGCCCACTGTTTTTCATGGAGCCCACCCATATCCTTGCTTTCTGCGAAAACCATGCAATTGCAAATTTGGTAGGTCCCTGTTTATAGCATTGTTATATTTCTTTTGTCTGTAACTGGGTTGTCCAGCTTCTGAGTGGCTGTGGGCCCCTGCGAGGAAAGCAGAAGCTGGAGGGGAGAGAAAGGAAGCCCAGAGACCTCAGTGGCAGCAGCAGGAGCACTGGGGGAATGATACTTGGGTGCAAGCCTGCATTCTGTAACTTAATACCTCATGGGCCACCAGTTGGATACCCTGATTAAAAAAAAATCATTTCTCATCTATCTGGACTTCAGTAATGCACATTATTAGTGATACTAGAGAAGTTTAATATAAGAATTGTAAAGTGGGAAATGAGCTGTTGAAACTCTAAAGCAACATGTATTGAGATGGAGGGAGTTTACTCATAAAGTAACTTCTGGTTGCTAATAAAGTTCTTCTGGGGCCAGACTTACAATTTATATTGTTTGATATTTTATTTAATGACCTTGACACACAGAGTAGGTATGTACACATTATTTTTTCTGATGATGCCAAGTTAGGAGGGACTGTCAAATTGGAGGTGGGAGAAGGGGAGGATCAGGGTATATAATACAAGAAGAAATGGATGACCTTGAAGACTGGAGCTAATAGAGTCATAAAGGGCCAGAAGGGACCTCCAGAGGTCATCTAGTTCAACCCCCTACCTGAGGCAGGATCATCCCTATCCCTATCCCTTACTCCCTATCCATAATCTAAACTACGTAAGACTACCTGCAACACTGACACAACATAAACCTAACACCTTAACATGTTACAGGTAAAGCAGGGGAACCACAGCAGCCAATGTCCTGCTACTATAAAATGTTGTCCATGTATGCTCCAGAGGTCCCAGGTAGAGGGCCACACCCCCCACTACTGAGGAAGACAAAACCCCCATTGTCTGTACCAGTCTGAGCATAAGGTAAAATTTCTTCCTGACCCCAAATATGGCGATCGGGTGACTGTGTGGAGAGGCAAGATCATCTAGCCAGAAACCTCTGGCTTTGCTCCTAGAGAATTGGCTCGCCCCAGTTAAAGTCCCCAGCCTCAGCTTTAGCTAACACCCAGGCCCCTGAGAAGGCCTGAAAACACCCTGACACATATAGCAGAAAAAGGTGGGGAGAAAGGGGAGAGGGAGTGGGAGCAACTAGCAAAGCCCAGAAGCATGGGAAATACCCATGATAGAAAATAGGCATAGCTACGTCCCTGACAAGTGGCTGGCCAAACTCTTCTTGAACACCTCCAGTGATACAGAGTTCACAACTTATTTAGGCAGTCTAGTCCACTGCCTCACTATTCTAACCGTGAAGAAGTTTTTTCTGGATATCCGATCTAAACGTACTTTGCTGCAACTTCACGCCATTGCTCCACACCCTCTCTGTAGCAAGAGAGAAAAGTTGCTTTTCCCTCTTCTTTATGGCAGCCCTTCAAGTATTTGAAAACTGTTATCATGTCCCCTCTTAAGCACCTTTCCTGCAAGCTGACCATACCTAGCTCTTTCAGCCTCTCCTTGTAGGACTTGCTTTCCAAGCCCCTGATCGTCTTTGAAGCCCGCCTTTAACTTCTGGGTTCCACATTTTAAAAAAGACATGGAGAACTGCACACAGTACTCCAGATGAAGCCTAACAAGTGCACAGTAGAGAGGCACTATCACTTCCCGTGATAACAACAGGATGAAATGAAATAGAGTAAAATGCAAGGTCATGGTCTTAAGAAATAAGGGCAAGAAGTTCTGATATAAACTGGGAGCTCAATACTTGGAAACAATGGAGAAGGACCTACATGTACTAGCAGATCACAGCATGACTGGGAGGTGTGAAAAAGACAAAGGTGATTTAATATGCATCAGCTAAGGTATTCCCAGTAGAGACAAGGAAATAATGTCACTGCACGTGATCTCATCTGGAATACTTCGTACATTTGTAGTTACCCATGTTCCAGATGTCTCGGACGGCCAGAGCCGACTTGAGGTGATTTAGAAATTACTCGTTCGTCAGGGCGGGCTGATGAATGGAGAGGTAGACAAGGTTTAATGGTTGCAAAAACTTTTACTTACGCCGCTTGTAGTTGCGACGCAGATGGTCCGGTCGTCTGAACAACTATGTGAGTTGTTCCAGCTGGCGAGGCCCAAGCCAGTTAATCCGTCCGAAATTTAAGCCGGCGGGAAAAGGGTACATCTGGGATTGCGCTCGGCGACGGGAAGAAGGATCGATAGGTGATCAGTCTATCTATCAGCTAGCTGCAAGTCAGATCTCTTTAGAGGCACTCTGCAGTGTGCTCAAAGTTCTTCGACTTGGGCGGAAGTCGCACGAAATTTTAAACGGCTAGCAAGCCAATCACTAGCTGCCACGTGTGAATAATTTAGAACTAGCCAATAGCGGGACACAAATTTGTATTCAAATAGCGGGAACTCTTTGCACCGTGCATTTCTGTGCTGCAAAGAAGAAATGCACCCTGCAAATTGGCAGGAAGTCTCTTGCACCGAGGTTCTTCTGTGCAGCAAAAACCCTCGCTGTGCAAGAGGCTCTCATGTGGCAAGAAAATTCCATCGTGCCGAGGCACCAAAATCACTGGGTTGTGACACCAGAAAGATGAATTTGAATTGGAACTGTTGCAAGGAAGGGCTACTAGAATGAATAGGAAACTAGAGAAGCTAGCATATGATAGGTGCTTAGCTGGTAAAATAAAGGCTGAAAGGATGTGACTGCCATCTATAAATACATCATAGTGATAAATCTCAAGGAGGACAAAAGAACTACATAAGCTAAAGGGTAAGGGTGCAATAAAAATACATAGTATAATCTGGGCATGAATAAATTTAGATTGGAAATAAGATTTCTAACTATCAGAACAGTGATTCTGGAACAGCTTCCCAATAGGAGTAGTGGGGCAAAAAATCTGGCTGCTTTTAAGAAGCATGATCAATTTATGTAAAAGGATTGGATGACGTGCATGTCGGGAGAGATGAACTGCCCTGTGTTATGTTCTTACAATGCTTCCCTAAATATCCCAATGGTGGTACATACTACACTAACAGCAAATAACAGTCTCTTAAGCTGCCATATTAGAAAATTCTCATATAAAAATAAAGTTTGCTTTAAAAGGTAAGAGCAGGGAAACTAGAGCCATATCCTAAAGTTTATGACACATTTAATAAAAACATTAATTGGGAGCATATACAAAATTAAACAGATAGTTTAGAAAATTAACAGCTATTTATATTCTTATACAGTCACTTCCAGAGGTACAAAAGTCAAATACTAATTAAAATGCAAGCATTACTGGTATGAATTTGAGTGTAGCCAGATGCTGTATGAAATGCATGATTTTGGATCAAAACCTTTATTACATTGGACTGAAAAGTCTGTGAAGTTTCCCCTACCAAGACCACTGCAATAGTGTGGAATGTTATCCTTGTGTTCCAATTTTCATTACATTTTGCCTATAAATAAAGACACTTCTAACTAACAATAATGCTTTGTTGAACAACTAAAAGAAATTGGATTGTGAGAACCTGGCTGAGAGAATCATGTTGGCTAGCCTGTCTTCTGACTTACAAAAGACTACTTCTTCTTGCTAACCGAATTAAAACTCTATGCTTCTTTATATGGTTTCATAAATATTATCCAGTTCCTTTTATTTATATATATAAAAGTGCTTATTACACTCTATTAATGAACATGTATATACTGTACATAGTACATATTGAACAAATCATTAAGTTTCATGTACCTGTTTCAGGGGTGTACTTGGTAGCTGTGTTGGTCTGAGACAAAAAGACATACAAAACCCCTACCCTGGGGGTCTTCAAGAGGAGGTTGGATAACCATCTGGCTGGGGTCATCTAGACCCAGCACTCTTTCCTGCCTATGCAGGGGGTCGGACTCGATGATCTTCGTCAGGCTCTGGGGAAAGTGTAGATGGTACAAGATGGTAAAATGTCCCCATAGGTAGGAAATAAACTTCATTTTTGCAGAGGGAGCTGAAGATGGAAGTCTGTCCCTCTGGGTCCATGCCTGCCATCTGACACCTCTAGGGAAGGAATTCTACCTGATCAACACATCAAAGAGCTACTTAACACAGCTCACAAAGACACTCATGGACCCAGAGAGACAGACTTCCATCTTCAGCTCCCTCTGTGCAAAAATGAAGTTTATTTCCTACTTATGGGGACATTTTACCATCTTGTACCATCTACACTTTCCCCAGAGCCTGACGAGGGGACTTTGCTCCTGAAAGCTTGCAGAAAAGGATAATTTTCTTGCCATTTTCCAGTTGGTCTAATAAAAGGTATCATTTTGGAACCAAGAGTTCTAGTTTTTTGTATGTACCTGTTCAGCACAATAGAACTTCAAAATAAGACTACTCCTATGTTTAAAATCAATGGTACTATACTGCTTAATTCCCTTGCTCAATTGAGACCTCATTACTAAAAATTATGATATCACTTAACACAAAATGCACATAGTTTCTACTTTAAATATTAAATTACTGGGGCAGTAGCATAACTGAAGGGGGGTGACTAGGAGAGAAGCCTCAGGTACACCTTGGTTGAGCGGGTAGAAGGGCACAAAAATAACTGCCACTGCTGCAGCATCTCATTGCACCACTGCCATTGGAACTGTGTCAACTGTTGCTGCCCTGCGCACAGAGTTGCCCTGCTATCCCTATAATGGGTAGAAAATATAATTTAGCCTGTTCTTTCAGTTACAAGATAAACACACATAGTTTTAATCTATTTCAATCATATAGCAAGGGGAATCTGGAATTCTGCTGAGTTCAAAGCCCATTTACATTTGCCAAAAGAAACAGCTGAACCTAAAGAGAGGCAGCTGTGGAAAGCCCTGATATTCTGGGCACTAACATTTTCCATTGTTTAAACTTAAAATGACAGCATAATTATCTGTACATCAGAAAAATACACCTTAAGCTTTTCACAGATAAAAGAACAAATCTATTTAATATCCTTTACATTTGATCCTATAGCCCTTACTTATCATTAGGCCTATTGTTCCGAGCAGAAATCTCTTATGAGCAAAGGCTGCAGGGCCGGGACCTGTCTTTGTAAACACTTTGGTACTGCATATATTAATGTTTTTTCTACAAGGACTTGCTTATATCATCATAACTCCATGTATAGTAATGCACTGCAATATCTCCATATAAAGGCTGTTTTCAAGTTGTTACTATTTCCTGAGTAGCAAAAGTTAACATAAAAATACTATAAAAATGATCATATTATGATCAAATATGATCAAACATTTAGTAATATGTGACTGCACAAAATCTTTTGGTATTATATATGACGTTGACAAATAAAATATCAACATGAGGACAACTTATTAGCAATTCCGAAATATAAAATGTGATACTCATATGTTTAAAATACTTTAAAAGCTCTTACACTCCATAGTGGTCACTAAGGTAATCCAAAACTGCTGGGGTGCTTGATAAAACATTAAAAACCTTTTTTTCTTGTTTTGAAGTTATCCGTTCCATCATGTACATCAAGTGATGATGAAAACATGTAAAAGGAGTCCCATGTTCAAGAGCAATGTCAACCCAGTCCTGTACACACTTCAGTGGTGTTTCATCAAATCCTGCAAACATGGCTGGATTGGCTAAGAGCCCCCTTGCTGCCATAACACCTTCAAATGGAAAATTTTAAACAAGAGTCAATGTACAAATTTTAAAACAAGGCTTTAAGCAGCACTCATCACCATACCTATTGGAAGGTTTAAAACAGCTACCTAGGGAACAATGGTAAGTTAATTTAATACCTGCACCAAGAAAAACTTTAACAAACCAAGCACAAGGCAGCCTGTGGCATTTAGTGGTGCAGACTATCCAGTGTCCTTAGTGGCATTCTTCATGATAGAAACTTTGAAATAATACACAGGATGAACAAAACAGCAGCTTTCTCTTTCCCCTGTTCTTTTATTCAATGAAACTAAACTTCCATCAATTTTGCTTTTGTTAGTTAAATAAAGGACAATTTGACTCTTTAGCACAAGTCATGACTGATGGAAAAAAAAGAACATGCCAGATTTTTCTTTTGTGTAAGGAAACTTACACTATGGATACATTTAGGCTATTATTTCCAGAAACTGGGCTTTTGATTTGGTATGAACCTGTACTTTTGGTACAGGTTGATGCACCTGCACTTATCCTAAAACGATCAGCCAGATAAAATCGGACAAGCACTGATTATTCTGCAGTGAGACAGGATGATTCAATGTGTGTTACAAAGCTCTTTCCC